ATAATAGTATATCAACTATACTAAAATAACACTGAATCTGCCCGGCCTAATTTTTACATTTCATTAATGGTTGATTATACAGAGATATATTTAGGGTTTTTTGTTGTTTTTTTTTGCACTAAATGTCCTCGTTTTTGCCCCTTATAATGAAATGCCGTGCTGTGTTGTAGTGGCGTGACCTTTGACCTCTGACCTTGGGCAGCGAGGCTCGTGAGCCGGAGCTCTGTGTGGTCATGGTGAGGACGGTGGTGATGCCGAGCGCGACCCGCGCCGGAGCCGCGTCCATGTGGATCCAGAAGGAGACCCAGGAGAGGATGACGATGAGGAGGCTGGGGATGTACATCTGGATCAGGTAATATCCCATCTGCCGCTCCAGATGGAACTTCACCTCGATGCACGTGAACTTCCCTGAACACACACACACTCACCTACAGCTTCAGAAAAACTAGATGTAGGTGGGGTTTTTCTTCAGTAGAACAGTAAAGAGGATTTTTAGCTGAAATCGTGATGCTTGGTGATTCATACAATGCAAGTCAATGGCTGCCGTCACTCTGAGAGTCAATAAAAGCACATACAGGCAAGACACTAGATGTAGGTGGGGTTTTTCTTCAGTAGAACAGTAAAGAGGATTTTTAGCTGAAACCGTGATGCTTGGTGATTCATACAATGCAAGTCAATGTCTGCCGTCACTCTGAGAGTCAATAAAAGCACATACAGGCAAGACAAAATTAATAATTGTCGCTCCTGACGATATATTGAGGTCTTATGAAGCGAAACGATCAGTCTGTGCAAGAAGCTGAATATTATTTATAACGTTATTACTGTAATCCAGAGCCTCAGGCAAACGGGGAATACAATTATTTTCTGTGAATTGGTTCTTTCGGACAATTTGATTCAGTGAACTGATTCAGTTCATTTATGTAATCACACAATGACGTGATTCATTCATCAGAGGATCAGATACGCCGCTATTGCGGCTCATTGAGTGACTGTCAGGCGTCTGAAAGTGAGTTTGGATTGAGTAACTTGTAGATCTGCACCGCTCGAGCCGTGAACTGATTCAGGTGCTTCAGTCTGATTTAATGAACCGGTTCATCTAGTTCACTAAAACAACTAGAACTGGTTGAAAATAATGATTCGTTCACAAACTGAACCGTTTGCCTGAAGCTCTGGATTACAGGTAATAATGCTGTAAATAACAGCATCAGTCTCTTGCACAGACTGATCGTTTCGCTTCATAAGACCTCAATATATCGTCAGGAGCCACGGGGATTCATTCTATGTTTCCTGATGTGCTTTTCTTGGACTCTCAAAGAGCCGGCAGCCATTGACTTGCACTTTATGGATCGTCAAGGATCACAGTTTCAGCTAAAAATCTTCTGTTCTGCTCAAGAAAAGAAAGTCGTTTCACTGCTGGAGCAAGTTATTGTATTTTAATGAAAGACTATTTTTTAATTTAGAACAGCAAGCACTGAGAAACATGAAAAATAATTTCTGCTTCATCAGAGGATCAGATACGCCTCTATTGCGGCTCATTGAGTGACTGTCAGGCGTCTGAAAGTGAGTTTGGATTGAGTAACTTGTAGATCTGCACTGCTCGAGCCGTGAACTGATTCAGGTGCTTCAGTCTGATTTAATGAACCGGTTCATCTAGTTCACTAAAAAGAACTGGTTGAAAATAATGATTCGTTCACAAACTGAACCGTTTGCCTGAAGCTCTGGATTACAGGTAATAATGCTGTAAATAACAGCATCAGTCTCTTGCACAGACTGATCGTTTCGCTTCATAAGACCTCAATATATCGTCAGGAGCCACGGGGATTCATTCTGTGTTTCCTGATGTGCTTTTCTTGGACTCTCAAAGAGCCGGCAGCCATTGACTTGCACTTTATGGATCGTCAAGGATCACAGTTTCAGCTAAAAATCTTCTGTTCTGCTCAAGAAAAGAAAGTCGTTTCACTGCTGGAGCAAGTTATTGTATTTTAATGAAAGACTATTTTTTAATTTAGAACAGCAAGCACTGAGAAACATGAAAAATAATTTCTGCTAAGTTGCAAAAAAAGGCCAAATATCAGCTGATTTGATACTGAGTTCAAAAATATCAATACAATGTTTTAGTTTTTTCACAGGTTTGTATCAGTTTTAATGCACTTATCAAACTAACAAAAGCAGTCAAATGTCAGAAGTTTGGGTTTTAATAACAAAAAGTAGTATTCAAAATGTATAATTTAACTTACAATCTGCAAAGTGGAAAAATATGTAGAAATAAAAACAATTTTAAATAAAAAAATAAAATAAATAAAAAGTTCGAACTTTCCATAAATACAGTTTTATAAATAACTAAAACTAAGACAATTAAAAACATCTTTGTTACTTGAGATAAAATATATGTTACCTGAAATATTTTTTAAAAACTTTATTTTATCTTATTTCATTTCTCATTTTCATTTAGTTTATCTCAGGGTTATTATAGTTAACTAAAACTAAAACCACTAAAGCATTATCGTTGCTTGAAATTAAATATTCGTAATTGAAATTAAAAATAATAATAAAATAAAATATTATTAATAATAATAATAATAATAAAAATATTAAGCTTATTTTATTTCAGCTAGTTTCCAAGGCAACATTTCTCATCTTCATTTAGTTTAACTTCATGTAATAAAATAACTAAAACTAAAATAAAAATGAGTAAAAAATAATATAGACATTTTAAAAACAACAAAAAATAATAAAAACACACAACAAAAATACTTAAACGTTAAAATTAACAGGAAAGCATAAATATAAAAATATAATATAGTATAATAGTATCAAATATATATAAAAAATATATACTATTATATAAAATATAATAGTATCTCATCGATAGTCAAATAACATTGTTTTAACTTGAAGTAATAAAATACATAAAAATAAATAAACAGAAAAAAATTATGAATAAAATAAAATAAAAATTTATAAAAACTATACATTGTATCAATACAAGCTAATAAAAAAATGATTACTAGAAAACATTTTACAAGTAAATATTTTTGAGGTTTTCTACTTAAAAATTTCATATGATTCAATGTTTTCTTTGTAATCAATTACTAGCAATTTCTAATTGAAAATCGAAAGCATCAGACTCATGTTTGCATTTTCTTCTGTTTCTGGCCATAAATCTGAATCTTAAAATCAGGATTAGTTAATAAAGCAGTTCAGATTCAGACAGGAATCATGTGTTTATGCATATTTTTCTGCTGATTAACGGACAATGTAAGACTTATTCACCGCACAACAGGTTATTAAAAGCAAAGAAGCTACACAACGCACATATTTAGTGAGAAAGTGTGACGAGAAAGAGCAAAACAGACACTCTTTTTGGAATCAGCAGCTCAACACGAGCATTGGATTCATTCCCTGGACATGATGCAGGTCTGTAATGATGGGTTATGTGTGCGTGTGGTGCTCTGACCTGTGTTGTAGTGTTTGGTGCAGAAGCCGAGCTCCTTCTCGTCTCGGATGATGAACTGCGGTAACGTCAGACCCTCGGCGACCTGCACCGGACCTTTCTCAAGCCACTCGAAGATCAGGTCGTTCATCGTGTAGCCGACTGCAGGAAACATCAGCAGAAACACCTTCATTCAAAACAAGTCGACTGAAATAAAAAACACTTCCAGTTATACTCATATTAAATAGTCATTTAGTTTGAGGTGAAGTACTAAAATTGCTAAAACTGAAAAGAACTAAACAAAAACGGAATTAAAAAAAAAAAATTCTAAAGATTTTTACAATTGAAAAAAAAAATTCAAAAAAAAAAATTCTAATTTGTAAAAATTCAAAAAAAAAAATTTGTAAAATGAAAATGCAAAATATAAAAATAGGAACTAATTAAAAATATTAATGAATATCATAAAACAAAAAATAACTAAACAACTGAAATAACTAAACAAGAACTGAAATAGAGAAAATATAAAACCTATTCGAAAACTATTAACAACAAAATTACTTTTAACTAAGATTAAAATAAAATAAAGAAAATATAAAACCTAATTCAAAATATGAATAATTATAATAAAACTAAATATAATTAAACTGAAAATAACTAAACAAAACCTGAAATAAAAAATAATAAAAACTATTTAGACACATAGAAAACTAATAAAACCAATACAAATGACTAAAAGAAACTAAAATTAAAATGAAAACAGAAAATATAAAACCTAATTCAAAATATGAATAAATATCATAAAACTTAATAAAATTAAACTGAAAATAACTAAACATAAACTGAAATAAAAAACGATATAAAGCTGACAAAATTGCACAACAAAATGACTAACTTTAACTAAAATTAAAATTAAAGCAGAAAATATAAAAAACTGATTAAAAATATTAATAAATATCATAAAAAAAATATATTAAAAAAAATAAAAATAATATATATATATAGACATTATTTGTTTATAAAGCTCAACAAAATGACTAAAACTTTAACCAAAATTAAAATGAAACCAGAAAATGTAAAAAAAAAAAAACAATTCAAAATATTAATAAATATCTTAAAAAATAAAGATAACTAAACAACTGAAAATAACTAAACAAAACCTGAAATAAAAAAAATATAAAAACTTTTTAGACATATAGAAAAATAATAAAAACATACAACAAAATGACTAAAAGTAACTCAAATTAAAATGAAACCAGAAAATATAAAACCTCATTCAAAATATTAATATATATCCTAAAACTAAAAATAACTAAACAGCTGAAAATAACTATAAAAAACTGAATTAAAATAAATAAAACTAGCATTTAAACAAAAAAATTAAAACTAATAAAACCAACAAAAATGCAGAACAGAATGACACAAACTTTAATTAAAATAAAAATGGAAAATATACAAATAAAAAACGAATTCATGCTTTTATCCAATAAATATGTGACCCTGCAGCACAAAAGCAGTGTTAAGTCGCAAAATTAGTTTTGTAGCAATAACCAACAATACGCTGTATGGGTCAAAATTATAGATTTTTCTTTTATGCCAAAAATCATTAGGATATTAAGTAAAGATCATGTTCCATGAATATATTTAGTAAATGTCCTACCGTAAATATATCAAAACGTAATGTTTGATTAGTAATATGCATTGCTAAGAACTTCATTTGAACAACTTTAAAGATGATTTTCTCAATATTTAGATTTTTTTGCACCCTCAGATTCCAGATTTTCAAATAGTTGTATCTCGGCCAAATATTGTCCTATCCTAACACACCATACATCAATGCTTTCAGATGATGCATAAATCTCAATTTTGAAAAATTGACACTTATGACTGGTTTGGCGCTCCAGGGTCACATACAGATGTTAATACGCACAGCTCTCCAGCTGCATGGTGCAGGTCTGTGCATCCATCGGGAAGTTCTTCAGATCCATCGGACAGGACAATATTAACGTCAGCCTACAGACAACGTGACAAACACACACTGCGTTATGCATGTGTGTGTGTTTGCATTATGCTCTGAATGTATTACCTGATCCTATAATATCAGACTTGATTCATGTGACTGGAGTGTTTAATGTTGGATGAGACGCGTCTGGAAACCTCAGCGGATCTGAAGCTTCACTATGACTTATGCATGAATTCAGAGCGTCTGCCGCTGATGGGTTGTGATTTATATAAATAGAGCATTTATGAAAACTAGGACGGCGTCATATCAGCTCATTCTCAAAATAAACATGTGGATTTACAATAAGAGCTGCAGATATCTCTCCAGGGCTCGTGTGCACTCGAATATCACGAGCTGAATTTGATTCAAACATACAATTCTACTAGCGTTTGAGCACTAGTGAGATATCTCTGTTTTGCATTCTGTTCTGATTTGAGAAGTAAACCTGATGATCCTGTTCTTCAGCATGAGAAAACGTCACCTAGAAATACAGCACAATCTGAAAGATTTAGGATTTATGCTATACATTTTCATAAAAAATTCTAAAACTTTATCTCAAAAAGTTAGATTTAAATGAAACAATGCAATGTTTTCAATATTATTTTTTGTATTATTTATATACTGTTTTAGTATTTTTAATACAGTATTTTGAATTATTTTATTTTTATATTTTCGGTTTTAGTTTTAGAAATATGTGCCTTTGTGCATTCTTATTAGTGCATTTTTTAAAATATATATTTAGCTTTCATTTGTTTTGATTTCAGTTTAAGTTTTAGTCATTACTTATTATTACTTCAATTTGAACTTTTATTTCAGTTTTCATTGGTTTTTAAAGTTATTTCAGCTTTCATTTTAATTTTATTTTCAATAAGTCAATGTGCTTTTGTCATTTTTATTGGTTTCTAATAATATTTCGCTTTCTTTTTTTAGTAATTTAAGTTTAAGTTGAAGTACTAAAATTACTAAAAATAAAATAAAAAAAATTTTAATAAAATAAGTTTAAGGTTTTCATCCAATATTTATATTTTATTTCAGTTTTCATTTTGTCACGAATTCGGTCCATGGACTTCTGTTTATTCACCACCAGAGGTCACCCTTTCCTTTACATTGTCTCTCCCACAACACAAACTGTTGCATAGCACCCCGGACTACATATTAATTGCACGGTTTGCACACTGCACTGATTGCACTCATTGCACACAGCTGTTTCTTATCACCTCACTCACTATATAACACCCACTCAAACCACCATTCTCTGCTGAGTATTGTTTAGCCTGTACCCCTTTCCGAGTCTCTGTGTTTTCCTTGTTTTGCCTTGCCTGTTTCTGCGGTATCTGATCTTTGCTTGTTTTCCTGGATTTTTCCCTCTCGTCTCGCCCCTGTGATTCTGTCTGCCGATCGGTGACCTACGCTAGCTTTAGCCATCGCTCACTATTCTGAGTTACCAGACTGTTTATTGATAGTTTTTCTGCAATGGCACAAATCAACCTCATAGGGCTAGCTTAGATGCGAGGGTCCACGTTCATCACTCGCTCAGTTCATGGAAGTCTAGTCAAGTCACAACTGATCTTCATGAGTCAAGTCACCGCTGATCTTCAGGAGTCAAGTCAAGTCACAGTTGATCGTCATGAGTCAAGTCACCGCTGATCTTCAGGAGTCAAGTCAAATAGCAGTTGATCGTCATGAGTCCAGTCCAGTCTCAGCTGAGCTGCCAGAGCCTCGTTACGTCACAGCTGATCTTCTAGAGTCTCGCATGTCTCAGCTGTTCGTCCAGAGTCACGTCACGCCTCAGTTATTCATCCAGAATCATGTTGCATCACAGCTGATCATCCAGAGTCATGTCACGTCCTGTCTGTTGCACCCAGATTGTCGGGGTCGGTCCGTCGGTATCCCAGTCTGGTATCCAGTGTGAGGGATGCACCGCTGGTGTCTGCACGGGAACTCTTTATGCTCCGCCGTGGGGACTCTAACCCTTCTATTTATGAACTCATTCTCCTGTCTGCAGCACTTTTCATATGGGGGGTTGCTTTATGGTGTATCTGGGCCATCCTGTTCCGGCCACGGAGGCCATCAATGAACGATCTGCCTGTTCTGTTCCAGCCAAGGAGGTCGTCTGGGAACTCTTTGTCTGTCCTGTGACGGGTCTGCTCCGCCGTGGTGGTCTTCTGCTCCGCCGTGGTGGTACTCTGCTCCGCCGTGGTGGTCTACTGTCTGGCTCTGGTGGTCTTCTGCTCCGCCGTGGGGATCTTCGGTCCCGTCTGCTCTGCTGTGGTGGTCCTCAGCTCCGCCGGCTCTGCCTCAGTCCCTGGTCTCTCCTATCCTTGGACCTGTCCCTCCGTCCCTCCCTCCGCTCCACCGCCCACCTGGATCATTTAGTGTTTGGAGCGTCTGGAAGCCACTCCTTGGGAGGGGGGGGGGGCTCTGTCACGAATTAAGTCCATGGACTTCCGTTTATTCACCACCAGAGGTCACCATTTCCTTTACATTGACTCTCGCACAACACAAACTGTTGCATAGCACCCCGGACTACATATCCCATCATTAATTGCACGGTTTGCACACTGCACTGACTGCACTCATTGCACACAGCTGTTTCTAATTACCTCATTCACTATATAACACCCACTCTAACCACCTTTCTCTGCTGAGTATTGTTTAGCCTGTACCCCTTTCCGAGTCTCCGTGTTTTCCTTGTTTAGCTTGTACCCCTTTCCGAGTCGCCGTGTTTTCCTTGTTTAGCCTGTACCCCTTTCCGAGTATCCGTGTTTTCCTTGTTTTGCCTGTACCCCTTTCCGAGTATCCGTGTTTTCCTTGTTTTGCCTTGCCTGTTTCTGCGGTATCTGATCTTTGCCTGTTTTCCTGGATTTTTTTTCCCTCTCGTCTCGCCCCTGTGATTCTGTCTGCCGATCGGTGACCTACGCTAGCCCTGGGACTATTCTTGTGTTTTGCCCGCCATATACCTGTTTGCCATTGTTTGACCCTGCCTGTTTACCACGTCTCTTTAATAAAAGCTTGCAGATGGATCCACACGTCTCACGTCTCGTCAGCCCCGTTACACATTTTAATTTTCATTTCAGTAAATTTGTGTTTGTCATTGTTTTTATTCTTTGTTTTTAATATTTCCATTTAGCTTTCATTTTAGTTTCAGTAATTTTATGTGCTTGTCATTTTTAATGTATTTTTAAATATTTCTATTTAGCTTTCATTTGTTTTAGTGATTTTTAGTACTTCAAGTTCAACTTAAAAGAAAACTCAAATAAAATAAGTTTGTTTTTCATCTAATATTTATATTTTATTTAAGCTTTTTATTCCTTTTTCAAATATTTCTATTTAGTTTTCATTTGTAAATGTGACATTTTAGTTTTACATTTCAGTAATGTGCTATGTGCTGTTTTTAATATTTCTATTTAGCATTTATTTTAATTGTTTTTATATTGCTTTCGTCATTTTTTTTTAAATTAATTTTTAAATTATTTTCTTTATTTATGTTTTAGTCATTTTAGTACTTCAAGTTAAAGTGCTTTATTTTATTGTACTTCAATTTTATTTCAGTTGACAAAATGACCTAAATATCAGCTGTCGCTCCATATCCCCAATAATATGTCTCAGTAAAAGGAGATAAAAAAAATGCTCCAAACATATAATGCAGTGACTGAGAGCTGAAGAAAGATGTGAGATGTTCTAGAGGCTTGTGAAGATCATTCCTCCGCTGAGGAACAGTGAAAGTAAAGCTTCTGGAAACAAACGCTCCTCAAAAGATCCTGAGGATCAGATTTGAGACTCTAAAACATGATTGATGGAGAATCAAGTAAAGCTGAGCTGCTTCAGTCCAGTAAGTGTTCATCTAGAGATATTACTGCAGTTATTCTGACCTTTACTTGAGAAAAATCAGTCAAGATTTGACACGAGAAGCTCCAGCTGAAGCTGGACGTTTGTACAATAACTGGATAAAAGACTCTGAACTATCAATCAGAAGGCATGCAGTAGACTTCTAAGTGTGTGTATAGAGTTAATACGTCTTCATACCTGATGCTGTACAGGACGGTCCCATCCTTGAAGATCCTCAGGAGCTTGTTTTCCGTCGTGACGTCGTGGAAGTTGGCTCCCTTCTCGTTGGCGAAGAACAGGTCTGGTTTCCAGATGGAGTCCAGCATGGACGGGTCCAGATCCAGAGAGGAGTCGGGATACTCGCTGTAGGCCAGCCGAGGGTCGTTCCACTTCTGCCGGAGGAAGATGTTCACCCTGTAGTCCTGAGACACAACACTGCTCTGAACTCTCAGCTCACTCTTGAAATAAAGCTTTCGATCGCCATCGATGGCTCCATGAAGAACCGCAAATACTTTATCAAGGCTGGTACTGAGACAAATTCACAATATGATACTATTAGTGACCCTGGACCACAAAACCAGTCATAAGGGACATAAGGGAAGATTTATGCATCATCATTAATGTATGGTTTGTTAGGATAGGACAATATTTGGCCGAGATACAACTGTTTGAAAATCTGGAATCTGAGGGTGCTAAAAAAGCTAAATATTGAGAAAATCATCTTTAAAGTTGTCCAAATGAAGTTCTTAGCAATGCATATTACTAATCAAACATTAAGTTTTGATATAGTTATGGTAGGAAATTTACTAAATATCTTCATGGAACATGATCTTTACTTAATATCCTAATGATTTTTGGCATAAAAGAGAAATGTATAATTGTGACCCATACAATGTATTGTTGGCTATTGTTACAAATATCCCCCAGCGACTTAACACTGCTTTGTGCTGCAGGGACACATATTACAGTGATTTGTAAACATTTAAATTGCACATGAGGCAGTTTTTATTATATAAATGTGTTACCTTTTGATGATATAACTATGTTTCTACTCCAGTTTGTTGTTGAAATATAAACATTTAAACAGGAAGTTCTTAGCAATGCATATTACTAATCAAACATTAAGTTTTGATATAGTTATGGTAGGAAATTTACTAAATATCTTCATGGAACATGATCTTTACTTAATATCCTAATGATTTTTGGCATAAAAGAGAAATGTATAATTGTGACCCATACAATGTATTGTTGGCTATTGTTACAAATATCCCCCAGCGACTTAACACTGCTTTGTGCTGCAGGGACACATATTACAGTGATTTGTAAACATTTAAATTGCACATGAGGCAGTTTTTATTATATAAATGTGTTACCTTTTGATGATATAACTATGTTTCTACTCCAGTTTGTTGTTGAAATATAAACATTTAAACAGCAGATGTCATAACTTGTTTTCATGACATATTTATTAACAATTTTAGGTTATAAAAACATTGTTTTGAAATGTTTCTATAAACGTCGAAATGTCCAGTCTTCTTGTTATTTAAAGGTTACAAAAACATTTGTTCCAATTCTAACTTTATTTTTACCCAAAATAGAATGTTATTTGAACTTTGTTTTTAATGTTCTAAGAACGTTAAAAGTCTAGTTTTCTTGTCGTGATTATAACGTTATTTAAAGGTTACAAAAAAAGTTTCTTAGAATGTTCAGCAAGTTTCTTCCAACATTCTAATAACTTTATTTTTTCTTGAAATATAACGTTATTTGAACTCTTTTAAAATATCCAGTTATCTTGTTGTGTTTATAATGTTTTTCAAAGGTTACAAAGGTTAACATAATTATAAGAATGTTCCATAAACATTACTTTAAGAATGTTTTTTCCTAACATTTATATATCTTTTAAAAGCACATGCATTAAATATTGATGAACAGGTTCAGTAAAAATATAATGAATATGTAATATAATTTATCAAGAGCTAAATATTGAGTTTAAGAACATTGAATGTTTTTCTAAGGTAAATGTGACGTTAAAATAACGATTCATTAAGTTTTGTTCATGCACCAAATGAAAACTGCAAAGATCGATTCTTGGGATTTAAGAATCGATTCAAATCAAGAAATCGATATTGTTCTTTATCGTGAAAAAAGGTTCTTTAGAATTTTTTTAGACGTTCTTCTAAGAACTTTTTCACTGAAAGCTTCTCTGAGGAACCAAAAATGTATGTTGCTTTCAGACAGAAGACCAGCGGAGCTTCTGCTAAAATGAAGCTTTTGAGAGCATTAAAAAACATTTTCATTAATTGAAATAAAATAAAAATGAACTCAATTAAAATAAAACGTAAAAAAATCTTATATTTCAACTAGTTGCCAAGCCAGAATTTCTCATTTTCATTTAGTTTAACTTGAAATACTAAAATAACCAAAACTAAACAAACAAATAAAATTGATCAAAACTAAACCGTGCCAATTTTAAAATTTTTTAATTTGTTCAGTGAAATATGCATATATTTTCTGTACTTTTTGTCATTTTAAGAGCTTTGGATCAAGGTTATTATTAAATAGTTATTATTAAATTATTAAATAGTTATCTAAAACCATAAAAATGTTACTTGACATAAAATAAACTGTAACAAATAAAATAACAACATTTTTCAATTTCATTTAGTTTAACTTGATATACTAAAATAGAAAAAAAAGAAAGACATTAAAAAATAATAATAATAAAAAGACAAAAAACAACTAAATTGCTATAACTAAAATTAAAATAAAAAACTAAATGTAAAAATGAAAACAAATTCAAAATATTAATAAAAACTATAATAGTAAAATAACACACAGTTGTTACTTGATGTTATATTGCTTTTTACAGCAGCTTGAAGTGACTTCAGTTCATCATAACATGCACAGCTAAGCCATTCAGTGACTTTATAAGCATTTCTGTGTGCTTTTGTTAA